TTAGAGAGTAAGCCAGGCTTTGTGTTCCCGCGGCTTAAGAATGGAAAACATGCCTTTGTCTCTGAGCAGATGTGCAGAATCGTTCCTCTGGACGCGGACATGTTGGTCGGCTGTTGTTTCCCTCCCGGTGAATGAGGGCGTCCTCTCTGAGGACGGCGGCTTCCCCCGGCTGCTCTGCATGATGTTGGCGGCCAGGCTGCTTGCACGGCACATTCCGGAGGGAACAGAGAAGCAGCGGTGGGATGGCCAGGAACAAAACGAGAGCCATGCGTCTGATCCTCTAAAATTAGTGCTTCACATTGCCTGCACATGGATCCCTGTGTGGTTTTAGCCGAACACCAAAACTGTGAGATGTGTATGCAACACAGCATCCTCCATGGAGGATAGCCCTGCGTCTGCTGGATAGGAGACCAAGATCTTCGAGAGAACCAAGGTAATATTTAGGTGGCATCAGTAATACCAAAATCTGAATGTTGACCCATGTCACCCTGCTCTAGGCTCTATGTGAAAGAGGATCCTACCTTGGGATTTTCTCTGCGGTTTATAAGGGGCCTCACCTAATGCTGGGGGTGAGAGGGTGAGAGCTGAAATCTGCTCTCAAAATACCAGTGGGTGGTGAGGCAGGGGGGGGGTTATTCATTCCTACCCAGTCACGAGCCTGGCCCACCCTACGGTTGGGCAAATGGCAATCCCTGATTTTTTTTTATTATTTGAAATAGGAAGGAAGATGAAGGTTTTTAAGATAAACCTGTTGAATTACAAACCCTCCCCAGCCCGTCCAGAGTCTGGCCTGGGTCAAAGTATTTGTAGACGAGGAGATGTGGACAGTGCACCTCCTCTGGGATACCCCTCATGAAAGGAAGTGTAGACGAGGAGATGTGGACAGTACACCTCTTCTGGGATACCCCTCATGAAAGGAAGTGTAGGGCTGTGGACAGTGCACCTCCTCTGGTTTTGACGGGATTCTGAAGGTGTCGGCTGTCTGGTAGGAGCCCCCGGCAATGGGAGTCATGATCGGAGCCGAATGACACAGCCAGCAGTCCAGGCCTCTCCCTCCAGCCCCGGACTTGGCTTCCCTCAAGGAAAGTGTTTGTAGCATTAATCCCAGCAGTGAGTGCGGCTGATGGCAGCGGATTTAGATGGAAAGTGGCAGCAGGACAAGCCGAGTTCCACCCAGGACCATGCTGCCGAGTGGGACTCTCCGAAATTAAGGAATGGGTGGGGGACATCCAGTCATAAGCTCCTGCTGCCTTTGGGTCGAGACCCTGCAGACAGGTCACCTGAAGTTGATCTCATGATGTCACACTCTCCATGTGATCCTGAGTGTCAGGACCAGGAGTATTTACAGTTACTCCAATGCGCTGCTGAATTCATGAATCTGATTGGTCATCAGGCGATATACAGCAGTAAATCAATGTGCCATTATAATCTTGAATTCTAACTAAAGCTACTTAAAATTCCAGGCATAAAACAATTTAAAAATAACAGAGGCGTGTTGGACAGTTGTTCACCTTTGTAGCTGTGTTTAAAAACCTATAATGGCTTGCTGTGCGTTAACCCTTACTTAGTGCTATAATGCACGGCCTGCTGTGCGTTAACCCTTACTTAGTGCTATAAT